TATTTTGAAGTAAAAAAAAAAAAAACAGAAAAAAACTTTCTATAAATAGTATGTAATTAATGTTTGACCAAAATTTGACTTGCCATTTTTAAAAAATGGTAATTCTTATTATATATATATAGATTAACCTATATGTTAAGATAATATATATAAATATATGTATTGTATGACATCTTTAACGTGTTTGTTAAATTTTTTCCCTAAAAAATTCAAAAATACATTTAGACATGTTTTGTTTGAAGTTTGAAATTCAAATATGCATCTATATAACAAATCGCATGATTTGTGCTAGCATTAAATACTACTTGATTTTTTATTACAAAAATTAAAAAAACATACCAAAAATGGAATGCAATTAATATTCCCTATTTTCTTGCTTACTATTTTTGAAAAATATTAATTCTTATTATATATATATAGATGAATTAATTGACTAAATCAGTGCAAGTGAATTATACAACCACACAAGTGTAAATTAATTTGATCTTGTACACTCCGTACTAAAAATTTGAAGCAAATGCTAAATCTCAACACACCTAATCGCTCAAAATCAAGAAAAAAAAATAATTAAAAATCGCAGAATAATCTTATGAATGTTTCTGGGCTCAAGCAATTAGGCTTCAAAGTTCTCTTTTCCTTTCTAGAACAAGCACTCAATAATGGATGTCTCACAAGTTAAACCTCATAAGCTATTTTTCTCCCTTCACAATGCACAATCTAGCCATCTAGGATTTGTGAAGTAAAGACATTTTTATTTTTTGGTACCTTCTGAATCGGATGGCCGACTTCGGTGGTCGGTGAGTGAAGGTGAACGCAGTCCGCTGTAGAAATTATAAGTCCAACAATGGAAACTTGAGAGGGAGTTGGGGCGGGAGGGAAGAAGCGAAAAAGGGAACAATTGTTTTTAGGTCTTAATTGTTATGACTTGTGAAGATGAGGTGATAATTGATAACGAGCAGGGCCTTAGGACATAAGAGGATTTAGAAAGTTGGTATATTTGGGCCTTAGTTCTTTATTTATTTTTGTTGGGCTGGACTAGGAATAAAAAAACAAAGAAAAATCAAACTTAGTAGTAGTAAAAAAAAATTAAAAGGCCTGGGCTTCAGCCCAGCCCAGGCCTAGTGTGCATCCGTCCCTGCTCTCAGTGCATAACATATTGGTAACATGACCGTTTTTGTTGAGCCCAGATACTCTGCATAGGAGGATCGAATACTAGAGAAAGGGAACCCTCGGCAGCTTTTTCCTCCTTTAGAGAAAGAGGATAGATTGGTAATCACCTATGTGACGTTAGACCTTCTGGGGCACTAGAATATAAAGGAGGGAATTACGGTTAGCAGCATTCCGCGGTTTAATATTAGAAGTGGCCAGGGGGCCTACAAGGATGCAGGGCTGACAGACGTAAAGCATGGAACCTAGGTTAACAAAAAAAAATAAAGTAAATAATATATAAGATAGAAACAAAATTTCTCTTCTTTTAATACTTGCAAGGACAAGGCATCCAGGGTTGAGCAATGGTACGATTCGGTGAAAAGCCGCACAAAATCATAAAAAAACAAAAACATAACATAGTAAAAAATAATTGAATTACACCGCAATTTAAAAAAGGCATAATTGAAACCGAACCAAAAAATTTGTACATTAGAATAACATAACTGAACAACACCGAAATGCATCATTCTGCACATTTTTGGTTTATTCTCGACTTTTCTATACATTTTATTCAATTTTAGTGCGGTTTGGGACAAATCACACTAAACCGAAATCGAACACTGAAATTATAAAATAATTATAACTGCACCGCACCACACTGCTTGTAGTCAAAATCGAACTGAAATCGCACAAAAAATTTCTTACATTAAAAAACGAATCGAATATCACCGATTGTATGATTCGACTCGGTTTTACTCCCCCCTAAAGGTAGGCTTCCTAATTTTTTGAAATATTGATCATCTGGTTAGATATTACATTAGTAAGTACTCTTATTTATATCTTTGGCTATAATTTTATTTATTTGTTCATTTTTTAGCAATTTAGGATTTGATCAAGTTTGAATATACGAGGAATGTAAATGCTTGAAAAGCAGTAAATTTGATATACAAGTACCCTCTATGTATTGAGAGCCAAGTAGAGCTTGAAAATCACTTTATTATTTTTTTATTCTTGAATCATATGTAGGCTTGTTCCTTTGTCACTGTCAAAGTGTTGTCCTTGATGCATTTTGATGTAAATAATGCTTTTTACATGGCTATTTATATGAAAAGGTTTACATGAAACCACCTCATGATACACCCAGGCTAGTCCACGTCAGCTTTGCATGGTCTTAAACAAGCTTCTAGAGAATGGAATCATGAGTTCATAACAAAATTGCTTGAATATGGCTTATATCAATTTGCCTATGATCATTGTTTTTTCATTAAGAAAGGTCATTCCTCTTTTTGGCTATGTCAGTATATGTAGATGATATTTTGGTGACAACTTGAATGAGATTACAACTCTAAAGACTTATCCAAATCAACGGGAGAAGTTGAATATCGTGCCATCAGCAGCATAACTCGTGTATCCTTTACCCCAAGTCCAGCTTTATTGGGCATGTTTTCTATTAAGTTCAAATTAGTTATTTCTGTTAATTGAAAAAATCGTGTTTACTAGTATGTGTTCAGGGTGTGTTAGATTTTATTTGNCGATAAAACTTTCAACTTATAAATTATTTTAAATAATCACGTAATACAAGCATACAAACTAAGATGCAAAAATGAAGCTCCTGTTAATAAAATATAAAAAAAAATTATCAGACAAAATCAGTTATTACTTATTAGACTATAATTGTAAATTTCTCCACTAGTAATAAATAAATAAAAATATATTCTTTCATTTTTTTTGGTACAATTTTTTTTTTTTAGTACAAATATATTCTTTCATTAACTACTTGTACTCTCTTGGCTTTTGTTGTCCTTGAATGTAAATTAAAAGAACATATTATTCTCCCCATCAACCTATCATAGTACTTACACAAATCACCATCCTTCCACTCCTAAAACATTCTCCAACCATTTTCTCATGACCTTCATCTAAACCCCACCTCTACTTAACTTTCTCACTCAAACTCTCTCTCTCTCATCTTTCTCATCTCTCTCACACACACACAAAAATGAGTTCCGAAAACGAGAAAAACGTTGCGAACGACACTAAATCGCATGACTCGATCGAGACTGCCCAAAATCCTCTGGCGGCGGCAGCGCCAGTCGAAGTGGTGGTTTTGGACAGCGACGATGGCGGAGAGAGCCACGTTGACAGCGGCGGATCGTACTTTTGCCGCACGGTTTACCGTCCGATCCCTCCGTTCCTTCTCAAAGTTCACGACATGCTTGAAAATCCCGAGACGAACAACGTGATTTCTTGGACGTGTGGCGGGTCAAGCTTCGTCATAACAAACCCCCACACATTCGCAAAAGACGTGCTTCCCATGTACTTCCGACACAACAATTTCCAAAGCTTCGTGGCCCAGCTCAATACATACGTAAGTAGCTAACTATGATGTTTTTCTAAATTTTCAGCCAATGTACCATGTTATACTATGCAATATTTGTATGATATATCATATATCTCTTCAAATTGTTTTATGTATCTTCTCTAGTTTTGGAAATGGGCTAGAAAAACTAGTTAATGCTTATAATAACACATTCATATTTGTTTTACATAAAAAAAAAAAAATCAATCTAGGGTTTTCGAAAAGTAAGTTGGGAGCATTGGGAATATAGCAACAAGAACTTCCGAAAGGGGGAGAGACACTTGCTTAATAACATTCGTAGGCGCAACCAAATCTCCCACAATCATCACAATCCGTACGCGCACGAAAACTCCCCATCTACGGGCCGAAACATAGAGAAAGAGCTCGAGGCGCTCACGAAAGAGCACGAGCTTCTCAAGGTAGAGTTCGAGAAGCTGAAAGACAAGCAAGAGGCACTTGAGAAAAAACTCGCTACGCTCATGAAAAGCCGTGCGGTGGTCAAGGGGGGCAAAGGGGGAATTAAGGAAAAAGAGGAAGGCGTTTTGGGCAAGAAAAAGAAAGTCGAGGAGAACTCGGAAGGTAGTAAAATGCCGATGTTGGACGAGGGAGAGAGCGGAAAAGGGTACGAGAAGAACACGTTGATATCGTTGGAGGATGTGTTTGGGGAGCCGACGACCGATTGGGCCGAGTATTGTAAGGAGTTGATGGAGAAAGCCGGTCACCATTTCAAATCTTGAAAAACACCTTCTTTTTCTTTTCGTTGGATTAAGCTCGAATTTATTTATATTAAGTAGTTTGAATTCAAATATAGGTTAATGCTAAACGTTTAAGTATTGTTGTATGCATGGTTACTTGAGACATTTTAGAAGTTCTACCTAATGCTACTATAATACTATTCCAAAACTTTTATCTTTCATAATTTTTTATTCATTAATTGGACTTTCAATATTAGAAAATTGTTATTTGGGCTAGGCCCATGTGTTATGTGTATGCCAAGAGGGGCTGGCCCAATAAGGGGAGTGGGCACAGAAGGGCAAGCATGTGGACACGTGCCGAGCCCCCAAGGTGCTGATTGGTTGGTTTGCCTAATTAAAAATTGGCAAATTGGAAATAAATAAATAAATAAAGTTGGACAAAAAGGGATTGGAGAGACATTTAAAACAGGGTTGAGTTCATCATTCATAGACTTCTCAAAGCTGAGCAGACAAGAATGTAGCTGTCAATTAAAATCACAGGTACTCAGGTAGGTACCTCAAGGTTACACTAAAGTTTATTATTCTTTGTTATTTGGTGCGTTGTAGAATGTTGAATAAAGTTTTGGACAAGTAGTGTATTCGAATCAATTTTCTAAATGGAAGGATTGAGACTAGTACTAGGCAAGCTTATGTAAAATCAGACAATTAAATGTCTTTCAAATGTCAATAGATGGTAAATAATATAAATAAAAAATATGATATTTTATAAGATAAGTATGTATTCTTATTAAAGGAATACGATGAGTCAAACCGTCTATTAAGTAG